TTACATTTACCGAAGTTATTTTCAAAATGCCAAAAAACAGTGGTAACGGGTTTGAGGAAGGTAAGGGTAATGTAACGTAAGTACCTTACGGATACGGGAAATGTTAGATTGCGTTTTATAAAAATAAAACCAACACATATGGGATAAGAAAAATTTCAGTAAAAATAAGAAACAGAGTTCCAGGACGTGATATGTAAACTATTTTTAGTGCCTTATTTTATGGTCAGTTTATCCTTCATTTGCCTTCTTACAGTGTAATAACAACAACAATATAACTAAAGGTCGTTCTAAACTGGAGGGCATTCTATTGTTACAGTAATGCCATGCCCTCTAGCAGCGCGACGAGGCGCAACGGACCCGACAAATCATCATTTACGATTGTTACAGTCATATGCCACCGCTTTAATTTTAACACGATTCCAAACCTGAGAGATGAGCTTTCATTTTTATTGAACAGATGGCGTCATCTGTTACTTATCTTTAGATTATATCTTGTGTGCAGTGGTTAGTACTAAAACTATATTAATGTACTTACTTAAGCTTAACATACAAGTAATAAAGGCAAATATATATACCGCATACATACCTGTGACTTGTTACTAAGAACTCGAAACTCGTTTTTATCTTACCTGGAACAAAGATATAGATATTTTATATTATATTGTTGAAAAGTGGAATTTTAAGTATTTAAAAACATATATTACTTGAATGCGTTTAGAAGTTTTCTTTTTAGAAAAGCATTACACATGTAAAATTACAATCGTTTACAAATTGTCATGTTATTATAAATTTCAGTTTATTTTAGGCAATCAAAAAAACGTAATTTGTAACAGAATATTGTAAAGAAAATTGGAATAGACACGGTTCGGTTGTTCAGGCGGAAAGAAAAGATGAAGGGAATTTCTGTTGTAGAAGTAAACACGATCAGATTTTTTCTATACTTCTTTTGTAAGATTTAATTTAGTTTACTCATTATTTATCTTTAGTGTCCACTTCATAATTTTTTAAAATTTTAGTTTATAAGTGTGATTAGCCCTTTTTACCAACGTTGTGTATACCTGTAATAGACATATATACATAAGAATTGGCCCTATAGCAAAGGACACATGAATTATACTATATTTCGTGCTGTTGGTGTACCCATCAATAAATAAATAAATAAATATACTAAGGGACGGAGTGAACTTATGAGTTAATATCGTATTTGTAACCGTCATGTACGAATCCAAGATGTGGAGGAGAAAGAAGTGTACGTACGTGTAAAAATCGAGAAAAGTGGAATGATAGAAGTGACTTGTGGGTTCAATTGTATTCATTTAGTTAATATGTCTCGTTGCATTTGCTGCACTTGTGGGGTTGTAATGAGCCACCGGCTATCTCAAGTACCAAGTATTAGAAAACAAGAAGATTGTCAAAGAAAGATTGTCGAATGCGTTACATTTCTAGTAACTGTCATGCGTGGGAATGATGATTTTCAATCAAGACTTTAAAAACACGTTTTTTGTAATTAATGTGCAGCAACGAGGTTTGTAGTATAAAAATAAAAGCCTGAATATAGTAATATATAAAAATAAAACCATTTAGTATCTCACGTACGAAGCAACGATCGACTTAATTACTGAAATATATAAATCATAATATTACTTTATTTCTTTACATTGATCAAAACGAATTAAGGAACCTATCTGGCTATTATCAGGGATTGCATTTGGTGTGCTAATCACAATTTGCTCCATGAATACGATATTAGTTTGCCGATCGTTAGCAGTGGATACAAAATTTTCATTTATGTATGTCGTCGAATTGATACAAAATCTATTCTCACAGATCAGTAAGAAGCGGCCTACACGCTAAATGCGCCTAAATCACAAGCGCAGTCAAGGTTGCAACGGCCCTTTAAATTAGCTCGACCTCTATTATACGTAAGGCAGTCATTAGCGTGGCTCCTCGCTTTTACGGATTGTTAAATTTCTATTGTGAGAACGCGTACTCGTGTTATGGTAGACGTCATTTGTGTCGTAAAATCCGAGATTGGATATTTTTTGCTTTAATGTCTCGTAAGCCAATAGGAGTGCTGAGACCGTGATTTCGAAATGTATTAGATGTAATTTTTCTTAGTTTAAGAACTATTTTGTTAGGATTAATTTTCTCTGATGAAACTTCAAAATGTAAATTTTTGTGGGTAAATGAACAAAAACTTTCAGCGCTGCGGGATTCGTCATCTGGGGGCAAAATCAGAAGATATAAAGTCAAAAGAGCGTGCTGAATTGGCGCAACACTTGAAACCAAGCAGTGGTACTTCCCGATCAAACTTGGTACATAAGCTATTCTTGTACTACTACAGTAAAACGGCACAGAAGAACTATGAAAATCTAAAAGATAGCTTATATTATACGAAACCAGATCAATTAACACTAATTTTAGGTTTATTGCCTGTGTAACAACCTTGCAGTATATGTTTCTCAGGTTTCATCATAAATACGAACAACAACAGACAGATTGGCGATGGAGATCGGCTATCATCAATCAAAGCCAAAAGTTTATTCAAGATTACTAATTGAGATTACTCTTTAAGTGTTCAAGAGATTCCATTTTACATTGCCCAAAAACCAATACAGTTCATTTGATAACATTATTGAAAGATTTAAAACAGCACAACAACCGCATGATTCGCATATTTTCCGTGTTTAATAAATGATGTGTACAATTCAAGATTGTGGCTTGCGTGTTCAGGAAATGTTGGAGATATATTAACATTCGAAAAAGTTCTTTCAACGACTACGTGTTCAGTTAAAGAGGTAGTGCACGTTTATCGACGATTTTCTCACAAAGTGAGTGAGAGAGACAATGGGGAGAATTTCCTGCGTTATATTTTAAGAGGGACATGCTGTTACGTCAATGCATGTAGCGAGAATATTCTGGAGCTTGCCTGCAGGCGGCTTGCGCGCCCTTGAATACGGATGAGGCGTCCCCGCTCAGGCGCTCATACGTTATGTATGCGCAGTGCAATTGCTCTCCTCTAGTCATGGGCTTGTATCGACACTTGTCGATCTCTTTCACTCTCAATCGATAATGAATTAGCGAAAACGCTACGAATTGTCATAAAGAAATGACGACTATTAAAACTATACTTTTAAGACGTAATCAATACGGGTACTCGTAATATGGCGAATACAGGGCAAGAGTGTAGAGTCAGTCCGGTGTGTAGGGAACAAATGATGCGATGAATTATGTCGATAAACTAGCGAAACAAAAAACGAGCGACATCACTAACTCGGCTTTCGTTCGTTTTCGTCTCGATTCAGTCATTTGCTCATTTCAAAACTTAATTGGTTAAGCACGAACATGCTTATCTGCGTAATGTAGTCAGTTGGCCCGGCGTGGCTGCCTACGTGCAACTTAAGAATGCTTTAACTGAGTAGACAAACAAATAGATCGCCAACGTTATTCACAAGAGAGATAACGCAACAGTTAAATGGCATAACCATCCAGTTTATGTTGACGAATCACTTCGACGAATGTTATGATCTATTAAACAATAAAAACAGAGATTCGAGAGCAAGCAGGCAATGCTCTGCGCTCTTAACGATTCTGTGATAGCTTCTTGGTAGTCCATAAAATTTTGGAGGTAATTTTGACGTAATCATATTTATCGAATAGTTCAACGAAGGTTGCTTAGAGACAATAACATTATTTTTAAGTAAAAATTTGAAATGATCCCCAATATGCATATAGCTGTTAATAAAATGCTGGTATTTTTTTGTTGACGATCAATAAGAGATTAAGTTAAGCCTATATTGAATAAAGATACTTTGACTTTTAATAAAATAAAATGGTACTGAAATTTAATGTATCAAGATACTTATAAATTTTCATAAAAATACACCTTGATTGTCATACACGTACTTCAGGTGCTTAAAGTTTCTGCTTAATAAATTTAAATGTAATTTTAACAGTCACCACCATTTAACAGTCTTTGCATGTTAAAATAATCTCCGAAGCTAATAATTATTTTAAAACAGAAATCATAAATTAAACAAAATGACAGACAGACAGAAATAACACAAAAATGTGTTTACGTTTTGTCCGACATTTGACGTTACTATTAAATAAAAATTTTGTGACCCATATTCGACCTATACATGCGTGAAGCTTTCTCTACTGACCCGCTGTTATATTGCCAATATTACACTGGGATTGTAAAAACGTGTGACGTCATTTGCCATAGCAAAATTGAGGCTACTATGACAGTAAAAGTATGAATAAAATTTATTCTGCACCGTCTATTTCAATGTATTTTGCATCTTTTTAATTAAATATACCATGTTTGGTATTCGATATTTATAGCGGAGAAAATAATAACAGCAATGTTTCGGCTATGAAGGCCAGGAGTGGAGAAAATTGTTAAATTTATTAGTAACGATGGAGATGGAACTATGAACTATAAACCCATAAAGGCAGATGATGATGATAATGAGTTGTATATTGATTTAACATGTTATGCTAACTGCTGGCTTCATGTTTGAGGTGGAATATTGAAACATGAAATATTGTACTACGTCTTAATATCAAAACTTAATGTGTTGTGCTATGAATATAATCTGAAATCGACGTTGCAAGGCCTTTTATGCATTGAACTGAGCAGAGCACAAATAAATAGACTAGCTTTTATATGCTAAATATTAAATATTGATTACATCGCACCACGATTATAATCTCACTATTGAGAGCATAGAGTAGTTCTTTCTTCGGGGAAAGAACTTTAATGTTGATAATTAAAAAAAAAATGTTTCCGTATCTTTAAAATACATGGTAAGGATCATGGCAGACGTGATGTAGCAATCTTCGACGACACAGAAGACGTGTTGGCGAAACATTAGATGTCATATAGTGTACTTATATACTCTTCGATATTATATTGCGAGATGGATCGCTCGAGCGAATATCTACGGCGGTATCCAGGCGACGGGGCCGTAGTGCCTGGATGCGTAAAGTAGGGCATGAGGAGGGGGGGGGGGGGGGGGGCGTCCCAATTCCCGGCGCGGCCGCACCGTGACCTGCCTCACGACCTACTTGTTCCCGCTACTGCGATCGCTCAGAGACCAGCGCTGACATCTGCTTGCTGGTCAGGCCGCGCCTATTTCCAGGTCACTTTGAGGCCGCCGTCACGTCGATAGGATTCGCATGCATTTCGATACCCATCCGTACGATCGCGTAGAGTCACATAAGCCTTTTATTCTGGAACATTCCCAACACCCGTGTGGATTATTCCATTTTTGTGAACCGTCTCATGTGATTTGCACTCGCAACAGATACTTGATTACGTCCATCAATTCCCCAGAGAAATGATATAAATGGTATGAATGAATGCTCCATTTCATCATCCAGTCCCATTCTATCGTAGTGTACAGTAGATTGTAATTTAAATTAAAAAATCACATCTGAAAAAAAAAAATTTCTTCCGAGTTTTCTAAGTGAGCTTTTAGAAAGGAAAACAACTCTAAAGATCTTTTATTACTTAAAACTTTACGCAAAAACGTTTTTACTTAAATGAAATTCAAATTAATTTGCCAGGACCTAACATCTGCGTGGTAAAAAAATATGCGTTAAATGCGATTCTAGTGCTGTCTACTTGGAGGCCATATTTATTCATGTTATGGGAATACGTGCATACGTCCCCTAAGGACTTAGAGTGTAATAATACGACCTATGAAAAAAAAAGACGCAAAGATCGCAGGTGACATTATAATATCGATGCAGCCTACATACCTGACAAATAAGTGGCGTGCCAACATTGTGCCAACTCTCGCATATAAACGTTGTTAGCTCTAATGAAGATGCCTTCTGTCCGAATACATTTTTTACAACTTAAGGCTGCGTCGCGAACTATGAGTAATTAATATCTTTCGTTTTTTTTTTTTTTTTATGTGAACAGTTGCCAAACGAGCTGACGGTTCACCTGATGTTAAGTGAATACCGCCGCCCATGAACATCTGCTACACCCCAGGGTTTGCAGATGCGTTGACAACCTTTTTGGAAATTTGGCTCCGGCTACCTCAATCACCAGACGAAACGCGAAAGTATTTCTCATACTTCCACTTTACGCCGGTCTTCTGTGAGGTCATGGTACTTACCCGGACGAGCCTGCCCATTCGTGCAACAGCCGAGGCTGCTGCGTGGCTCTACCACAATTTAAATTACCAATGGATTTATTTATTTATATTTCCGTAATATCAGATCAAATGCTTCCAAAACGAAACTGATATTATACGAGACTTTAAATTATTTATAATAGCCAGTGACTTCATGAGGTCTTTCGTCGTAATGATGGGTTCATTCTTGTTATTAGATAAAAAACTTCCAACATTGTAATGTTAATCGTTTTTCGAAGAAAAACGGTTTAATTGATGGTACGTGATAACCACTGCTCAAAGACATATACAACACCAAAGTTATTGAAGACAAGTGAGAAAAAAAAACAATTAAAATGAAATGGAAAAAAAAACAAAGGAGCCTTAAAAACGTTTTATTTTCGATGGAATACCTTACATTTTGTTTTAATTGGTAAAAATTTGAGGACACGTTTAATTAAATAAAGAAACTATAGCCAGTAACCAAGCTAAAGGTTGGGAAGGCTGTGGTCATATTTGTAACGTTTTATTTTCTTTTTACGAAATCTTGAAAGGTCAGGACATTTCGGCGGTTATTTGGATCACTTTTCCGTCTTAATTTTGTTGGGTATTTAAATATGGTCACTAAAAGATTCCTTCTTATTCTTACTTTGCACGGAGTCTCCCTAAACGTAGAACGAAAATAGATACTTTCTATTGGCAAATTGGATGTTCCGAGCGCTTGAAAGTAGTAGTTGAAGACTTTTTTAAAGCTGACGGCGATGGAATCCACTGCAGCCGTTATCAGCGACGCCAAAAAAACTAGAGCAAAAATACCTCAAGGGCGCTCGATGCACTGCTGCGTGACTGACCGCTTCGGTTATCATTTACTGGTGATGATTTAAAAATTTATGGAGCAGTCTTATTCAGTGGATTAAGATGAACATCTAGTATTATAATACCATTAAAGGTTGACAGGCATTTTAATCACCAAGTATAAATTACGTACTTCCTTTTTTTTCTTTTTCCTTTCCTTTTTCTTTCTCCTTTTTCATTATTAACGTGTAACGTGTCTATTCTTACTTATGTGGTATAAGGACGGGTTATATCGGACAAGCATGGACTAACCAAGAATAAGAATCTTTGGATGAACTGAGTTCTCCTGATTTTTTACGTCCAAAAGTGACACCACACTGGCCTGTCATATTTGGGACTAAACATGAATACCAATAATTGTCTTTTGTGAGAGAAGGAGAGAGTATTTTGTATTTAATGTAAACAAACGTAACAAAATAACTCCCAAGTGTTCCCAAGCCCCTTATAAAGGAAAATTAGCAAGTCTCGTAAAGCAATTTCAGAACGATTCTTAACTTTGTCGATAATTTAAATTCAACGACTCGCTCGTCGTCAATTTCTAAAATGAATTAATTTTTGCGAAGTTTACTCGCGTTTATAAGGTTGTCTTCGTACGGCGGCACTATTTAATGTTTTTATTTCAATTTATAAATCCCCAATAATGTTATATTTTTTATTTACGAATAATGCTTATGTTTGCAACACACAGGTATCAGAATAATTGTTGTAGTAATTGATTCCTTTAATTCGTGCGATTCCGAACATTGTTTCATGAACGACATTCGATTTCACAACTACAGCGTCAGTTAGTAGCGCTATTTCGACTCGGTTCTGAATTCTCTTAATGCATTGGTCGTATTGTGAATGTCCATTGGAGGCGATGATCGCTTCATTTTCCTACTCCTTTTTCCATTACAAAGAGTTATCGAGAGGATTAGTTGATCTCGGATCTCGGAACCGCCGTGGCCGGTCCGTTTCGAACCGAAGCGTTGACGGGGAGCGGGTAATTTCACGCGCCACAGCCTCCGAACAATGCTGCGTCCATTCAGCGACGCCCGCAGACCAGCGACTATTGTGTATCAACGCTGAATGCCGATAGTATGTTCGAGGGCCAATTGTGCGCACATCGATTCCGCGCACGACTGCCATTATGGGGCTGTTTGCGAAGCGCGTGCGCACCATTTTGTCAGCCTCCCCGCCTTGGAGCCGGCGGCTTAAAGCCAACACTGCGCCGATCGCGAAGACGCTCTTTTATTAGTTCTTGAATCGTCAAGTAACGTCGAAATTGGTCATTATATTATTTCAGCCTGTAAGTCCACTGCTGCACATAGGCCTCCCCCGCAGACTGACACGAAGCAGGAGCCTGAGCGATCTGCATCCATCGACTTCCCGCACACTTACACAGGTCGTCACTCCATCTAGTGGGGGGTCGTCCCACACTGCGATACGAGGCTGCCAATCGAGAACCTCTTTTCCCCAACGGTTATAGGTTCTACGAGCTATAATATGGCCCATCGCAATTTCAGCTTACGATACTTCTGAGTTATGTCGGAAATTGCTCACGTGCGTATTAAAATGGGTGTAGTATAGTTGTAGCAAGTATTAATTTGGACATAATTCTATGGGGAAGAAAGTGAAGAGAATGACGTTCCCATGAAAATTAAGTTCCAAGCACCGAAATTGGGAATATCATGCAATAAAGATAAGATGGATCATAAAGAAAATGTACAATGAAATAACTATATTAGCTTACAATAATGTTCGGTTGGAGATTGTGCTATGATTTTAATAGAATTGAATTGAGAAAGATTGTAATGCACCCTAAATCATTGTAAGTCAAGTTCTATTCTGAGCTCCTGCGTAGAGTACAGCAGGCAGATAATTTTTCCGTATTTGAACCTATATTTAGCCATAATTATATAGAGTCAGTATATATCAAAAGACAGAACAGAATGGAAATCTTTAGAGGAGGCGTTTGTCGATTGGCAAGCAGCACCAGATTAACGCTTTGCTGTTGTTTATATAAGTACTACGAGTATTATTAGTATTAATTAAGTTTAGATTTACCTAAGTTTAATAAAGTTAATCAAGTATAAGGCACACTCATGTTTTATAGAGTGGTAAAATTAAGAGCAGCAATAAAGGCTTATTTATTTTATATAGAGTCAGAGCAATCATTAATCTCGTCCTAACTTCTTATTTCCTCAGCTCTAGATTTTTAGCTAGCACGCACAATTTTTACAAACCACTGACTTGCAAAGGCAATAATTTCTCCTAATTATATCTAAAATAACACTTGGACAAATAACAATTTTCTTACTAAATAGTACTTACGTTTTTTTTGCCACGAGTTTAACACAATTTTTAATTCCCTACATAATTCCGACCTACTGTTTAAAAATACTGGTTTCTGGACATACGACTGTAGGCTGTGTTGTCTGTCAACCGGTGAGAATCAGCAGGTTGGTGTAGTTTTGCAGAGTAGATTGAAGTATGAATGCGTACAGATTGCGATCGATTCGATTGCTGTAGCGTGCATCCTCCCGCACAAGGCCGTTCCTGAGGCCGGTGATGCGTCACTCATTGTGATCGCTGAATGCCTGACAGCTGATGTTAATCACCATTCGCAACGCTCGCTCATGCACTGCAAATTATATGGAGTGAACACAGAGAGAATGGCCAGGAGAGCATCGGGACTGTACCCGGCTTCACTTAGGCACACTGAAGTAGAAGATTTTCTATTTTTTTTTGAATAAGAACTCTAATTTGTTACGAAAGTCCGGCAACGCATATGCACTATACTTATGGATGGTGGTGGTCATTTACCATGTGGTTAGCCGTTCAATACGCTGTAACAACATCACCAGAGCGATTTTATCATTCAGCGATTGACCGTTATTGATGCAAATAGTGTCACAATGTATTGGGAAAAAATACGAGAGATCTTGTAATACAGATTTAAGGCCATTGCAAAAATGGCGGTTAGTGTTTATTGGGGAAAAAATTGTGTGATTTGTAAACTAGCAGAATAGATTAAGGTAGAGTTTAAAGAACCTTGAAAATATTAGAAAACAGATTATAGTGGTAAAGCAAGAAGAGTGGGCCAGTGGAAGTATCACGGTCTTACAGAAGACCGTTTTGGTATTTTGATTGGTGAATGATGTAATATGGTTGGTCATATGGATGGTGGTCTCTCACACCATCTTAAACGATTACAGAAAAGATTTGACTACCCGATTGGCGAGTGGATAGTGAACATATCTCTTGCACCACAGGGCGTGGGTTCGTCCTCACTTATGGAAAAGTATTGTGTTATGAACATAGTTTTTTTATAGTTTCTAGCATATCAAAGATAAGTTTATTTACAAAAGAGAAGTATGATCAAGGATGTTTATCAGTTACTAAATACCCGTACTGCAAGCTTTGCTTAGTTTGCGGCTAGATAAAGTTGTGTAAAGATATGTCCTGAAAACTTATTTTAAACTTACTTTAACAATTACTTAACATTAATATTTCATATACGCAACAAAAATGCAATCCCAAGGTGCTTTCGATGTTAATGGCCGTCGGTCGGTTATCGCCTAAGGCCACGTTAGATAATTATCGCCGCCGATCGACTGTAAATAATATTTGGTGACCCCTGTTTAATAAAAACAAACGCTAATTTAATGTACTCGTTCGGGAAAGTAACGTAGTCTCACAGGACACTGGCTTGAAGTAGAATTTATAATTTCGAGTCTTGTGTGTGAGGTAACTGATGTCCACTTTTTTACTACAACGCATCTACAACTTGTCAGGTGTCATCTACACCTTCATGGGCGGTGTTCATTTAACATCAGGTGATCCGCTTCCTGCCTAGCTAATATTTTACATAAAGAATTAACTAACATCAGACAATTATAGAGACAGTATAGCTTTAGCCTAACTGTGGTAGGGCCACGCAGCAGCCTCGGCTGTTGCACGAATGGGCAGACTCGTCCGGGTAAGTGCCACGACCTCACAGAAGACCGGTGTAAAGTGGAAGTATGACAAATACTTTCGCGTTTCGTCTGGTGAGTGAGGTAGCCGGAGCCCAATTTTCAAAAGATTGTCAACGCATCTGTAACCCTCGGGTGTAGCAGATGTCCAAGGGTGGCGATATTCACTTAATATCAGGTGAACCGCCTGCAGTTTGTCAACTTTTCACATAAAAAAAAATTGCATAACTCAATACCGCGCTTTTGATAAAAACCATTCAGCAAAACACAAATGCAGGTACGTTTATCAAATTATCCGTTAAGTTGTATCCAATCAAAGCAATTCTATAAACGATCATTTCAAATGCATGCTATACAATAGTAAATCAAAGCTGAAGCCGTTAATATTGATTTATATACAAAAGTATGAGCTTACTAGTCATGTACACGAGTCAAAGGTACGAACTTTAGATAATATATAAAAATGTCTTCATTCATTAATTAATTAATGCTATTTGCTTTAATATGTGAACTGAAGATAACACTTTTTCATCATAACAAATAAAATTAAACATGAAATACGTTAAAAGCCGAATTAAGGTAATTATAGTTTCGCAGCACGAAACAAAAATTTATTGCTCCGAATAGATAATTTGGCTTATGCTCGTTGACAAACCAACTAAATGGAGATGATTTTAATTAATGAGGTCAAAGGAATTCACTATAAGTAGTTTCAAAAGTCCATTACCACAGTAGTGAATGGTATTACTCGGAACTAATGGGCTACTATGATACTTTATTTTTTTGCTATTAGATGCCTGTTAGCAGGGCACTTCCTCTGTAACAAGATATCTGTTTTTCTCAAGTCTTTTCAGTGTCTGTACCGTGACCACAATAGGCCAACTTTTTAAGAATCTACGAAGCGGACATCTTAATATATGCACAGATTTTCAGAATGAGTGAGCCTTGACGGAGTCGCGTGTTCGGGCGCTTTATTCGGCCGCACAGCATATTATAGGAGTGGAGATTGTGAAACGCGGGTTCACACGAGTTCAACCCGGGCGATAAAGGCGGCCTTGACCTCAAAGCACTCGCCCGATAAACAGTGGCAATTATGAAACCCTAGTAGAAATCTATACCAAAAAAAAAATCTGACTGAACCGTAGATCGTGAAAACACATAAAGTAATAGAAATGCCAAAAGAAAATAGGAAAATTAATAATATGAGACTTGATTTGACGTAATACATGTAAGGTTATAAGTTGTAGTAAGATTTTAATGCTATTGAAAAATAATCCTTAAGAATATAGCTCGATTAACAGTACTTCTGTGATCAACAATGGCGCGGCCTCGCACGCGATTAAATTCTAATTTCCAAGTACTTACTTATCAAAAAAAAAATATATAAAAGTTGAAACATATCCAACATAAATGATTTGATTTATCCATTGAAAACCGCTAGAGGCCACGCTCCAAACAACATATTACGTACCTACGGTTTTGCTTAAATTTTTATTTTCCAAAAAAACCTTGCCGAACAAGTTGCTATTTTTTGAGACAATTATAAGTAATATTGTAGACTAATATGCAATATTTCACTAGAGTACTTCAAGGCGTCGAGTCATATTTGCAAGATAAAACGCGGACACATGCATTATCCGCTATCTATATAACTAAAATTTCCTGAAGGGTAGTCTAGTAAGAGAATCCACAAGCAAAGTACACATGTGCTGATCAAAAGTAGTAAGCGGTTGTGCTTCATAAAATTTCGAAACATGATATACGCTGGCACTTGATAAGACGGAACAAAATCGATCTCGATGTCGCTATGCATTTTTATGAACGTCGTGAACGTTAATCAAAATATTTCTTTTTACTCGTTTTTTTTAATCTGTGACCAAGATGGACGTTTAATTACCGACGTTGGTCACTTTATATTGCATCGGAATGAAGGCCGCGATTTTATGTTGTTAGTTTGTTGGAGATTTTTATTACAATGTCGCAGCTTTTTATCTGATCTGAACGCATCTGAGCACTCGATAACTTTAAAGCCTTATAGTGTAAATCACATCCGTTTCAAAAGTTTTTAACATTCCAACCACACAATAATAATGTGTTTAAAATTTCCAATTTTCTTGCTGGATCGAAGATTTCTTTTCTATGTATTTTGCAAAGAAAACAGTTATAAATCATGCACGTCGATAAAGTTAGGATGAATAGGACTAAATAAACCGCAATGTATATTTCTCCCACTTGAATAAACATTTGTGAAAGGAGTCCCAATAATAACATATACGACGGAGCAATATCTGTGAGCGCCGCTATTCTAATGGTTGGCATAAATCACGGAATACATGAAGACCATCGTTTTATTGCCTTTTATATATTATTGTGTCACTTCTTACTCTTCTTGAAGCGCTGCGTTGAACGTATAACTTAAAAATGTCGGCAATGAACAAAAAGTGTATTAGGTAGAATTTTCATGAAACAATACAATATAAGAGATTGGAGTGATTTTAGCTTGGATTTTGATACGTCCAATACATTGATACATTGATACATTTTAGTGACGACTATGGCAAATTTATCGTGATCAATATTTATTATATAAGGAACTTATAATAATAATCCTCGTTGTAAGGACATATTTAATTTGAAATATGTAATATTGAAGACTAAGATGAATTAAAATGAATTTGGCTTGTGCTTGGTGACTACTGATTTTATGGTAGGTACCAGTTTTGTTAAAAAAACCCTTAAAGAAGAGTAAATAAAGTAGTAGACAGAAGAATATGACATAAAAACAATACCGCAGATTCTTACTGGTTTCTTCTTTGGGCAGGGCAAAATTAGCGAACCAAAAAAAAAGAGGATTTTTGAATTTTTGTTCAAACAAAAATTATGATATCCGAAAAAGTTAGTTCCGTAACCCGTTGTTTGCAGTTGCAGGACAGGCATATATATTGCGTTTATTGATTTAATCTTTTTATTGGGTAAAGGTAACACTAAGAGACGGTTGTTTCGAAGTTCGGTGATCAGCACTGTACCATCGTGGACGTATATCAACCGTCAGAGTTTACTTACCCACTTTAAAAGTGGGCCAGTCTACTTAACGGCCGATAAACACTTCTACTTTACGGCGGTCTTTTGTGAAGCCCTGGTACTACGGACGAGCCAGGACATTCACGAAACTGAATTTGCTGCTTGGCTTTCTAGAAGCAACAAGAAGCAAGTTTAGCGAGGTCATTGGAATGTGGGTAGTTCAGTAGAATGTGCGACCACGACTTAAATGTTAGAGACGCGTTGTTGTATGTGTGGAATAATGAAAAGGAATGATGCAACATCTGATAACGAACACCTTTATCTAAATTTATATTTTCTCTATGTATTTATTTGAAATTGATTGCGTATAAAGATATAAGTTTATGTGAGACGATTTAGGATCTCGAGCTATTTTGTTATTGGCAGTAAGAACTTAATTTTCTCGTTGTATCGGTCACAAAGCATGTGTTCCTAGTTCGTTCTTAGAGTCGATTGCCACATTGGCAGCTTTTACTAAAAAGTATTATTATTCTATTTTAGAAAAAAAGGATTAATAATTTTATTAAGATCGAGACCAACACTGCGGTGTTTGCATACAGCATGTAGAGATTGTAAAACTTTATTCTTATCGGTGGATATCATGTGGACATCGAAGATATAACAGTAAAAGCAATACAGTGCATCCGTTTCGTTGGCAAGGTATTGCAACGATGCTTTAAAATAACACAACACTGTTTTATCGTTGAAACGTAAAACATTATGAGGGTTGCACACGTGTTTTGTACATTGGATACATCCAATAAAGTTATATTTTATATATATATTACAATTTTATTTGTTTCTCGTACTACGCTCCGGTAATTGTGTGAAATGTTTTGCTTTTTTAAAAACATCCTCTATTGATAACGCGACGATACATGCAAGGAAGGAACAGGATAAATAAAGCGACTGTTGGAATTTATTGTTGTCCACGTGATTTTGACAAAGAAAGTATAAGTGGCCATTGCATTGTCGTCGTCATGAATATTGTTGAGTGTTGAAATTACGACTTCCCGCTGTTGGGAAATGTCCGAATTATATTTTATTTTGAGCCCAAAGGAAAAGAGTAATTGGCGTGCAAGCGCACCCACGCCTCGTGCCCCGTTGCATTTCATCGTTACCACTTTTGAAATTAAATTAGAATTCTTTAAATACCTCGCCCGCACTCTCGGACGACTTGCGAAACACGGCATCGGATTTCGTTCGACTTTTTTCTTCGTTTTTTTTTTCATTCTGGCTTTAGCGGTCAAATTCGAGTCATTCACACAAATAAGAAGGATTCGTCGTCTATTTTATGTGTTTTAATCAACAAGCTATTAATATATTATGTCGATATGATTCTCAGGTATCTTACTTACATGTGCCTCTCCTAATGTCGGCCATAAAATCTGATAATGCACTTCATGACGTAAATTTTTATCACCGAACGTGGTTTTGACAAATAACGACCAAGGGCGGAATATATAATGTAAATTATAAAACAAAATTATATGCAGAGGGAACATTTTAATTGATAACAATCTTATGCCCGCGATACTCTCGGCGTGGATCCATTAACAAAAGTAACATGTAAATTTAACTGTCCTATTTCTATTAAATTACTTGATATAATAAGTATAATCATTTTGAAATCACAGACAGACATTATTTAAACTATTTTTACTGATGTAATCGCGTAAATATAGATTAGATATCGCGAAAGAACGAGAAAAACTTAAATGCCAATTTCCCGAATAATATATAGCCGAAAAGGTCGCAGTTAACAAGCGCGTCAGGACAAGGTTTTTTCTGCGTCATCGTAGTGTATTCAAGATGATGTTACGGTGCTGATGGTATCGTTTTTATTTTTAATCAGAATAAAAAGCGACCGTCGACCAGCGGCCCCGGCATAAATCTTAACGAGAAAATAATGAGGGATATAAGACGGCGGCACATGATGCTTTTAGCGGGACGCGAATATTTTTCGGTAGGACAAGTTATTCTTAATTGGTTCTCGGAAACCCTGCTGTTTTCGCCTTTTTGCCAACCAATAAAAAGGAAGTGAGGTAATCGCCCGCCTCCCAGCCTTGTTATCCTTTTTGTTCCAAGTCAAAGTTAAATACGGGAAAGTTGGTCGCAACCTGATGAAGTCGAATATTTTATTTCGACATCCGTTACTTAAATTTTTGCGATTCGTCTGGTAAGTTGACTAAATGCAATTGCAACACAAAGGGTGATTTGGGACATCCAGTGGGCGGCGGGAATTCCTAACAAGCAGAAAGAATCGCTTGCTTTTGCCAACTTTATGTCCTTAAGAACTGATTCTTAATGTTTCACCCTCACATCTTTATTGGCGCTCCCACAATCTAATGTGGAGCCTATGTTCGTTAGTAACGATCCGAGAACCCCATCTAATTCACACCTCGTGACTAATTTCTGTTCATGTACGTGCAAGTGGAAAATTTTGCGTCTCAATGTGCGTGATTCCAGTCGAACTATTCCGCGGGGACTATTCACGAACGGGACTCAGATTTTAGTTTCTTGACAATGTCAATGTCCATCGATAAGTATCTATTGCGATCCGCGTTCGTTGAAAACTTATTTCGTAGCCTGCTTTGGTACTTGTATCACGTAATACTTAGGTCGTTGCTCCCGCTATCGTCTTTGGCGCGATAACAATAAACACGGAAAAATCCTTTTAGCGCTGATAATTAAAGACCAGCGTAACGTGAACTCCAAAGACTCAGCCGAGACTTCCCGAACGGGGTCCCCGTTATTTAACGTCCGATATAGTTGTCAGAGGAATCAGTGTATAATGCCATAACGGATTTGTTTTGTTTAGCGATACGATGACGCTTACAAGAGTCGCGTGTGTCATTAAGGTCGGGTTCAAATACAGTTATTAAAATATTTTTTTTAGTTCTGATTTGGAGAGGTTGTTTAGTTGACGAGTATTTTACTTTCTTTATTTAAAGAAACAGTACCTGGAGGACCTGGAGGCTTATATAATATTTCTTGACTCCGGACTTCCGGAGCAAATTATTCTCATTATGCATTTCTTCGTGTCGATTAAAGGCTGGTACATGAGGTTCGAGGCATTGATTAGCTTTCAATCGACGTTCTCAAGTAAGGTATTTTTAGTTGTAAAATATCATAGGCATATATTTTTTTACGTTAATGTATATTTCCTTGTGTTCCTGTTGCACAATGTTGAAATGTCTTTATCTTTGTCACCCGTCGCGTCATAAACGCTCGAGGCCTTTGTTAACGTCTGCGAGCTCTTAGGAAATGGGATATCGTAGTTCTTTGCTAATGCAACAATATTAACCATGCATTTGTATGGTGGGGTGTTGAGCCCCTGCTGTTATACAATCATGACCGCCACGTGACATCATCTGAAACTGGGTCGACTGTAAAGCGAAGTTTCAGAGGCGGTTACATAGCAGCTCTGAAGCTTTTGTCTTCCAATGTCTCTGCGGACGTTTGATGTATTTCAACTTTTATGCTTAACAAAGCTATGAATTTTTCTTTAATGTCGTTTATCAGGAAGAGCATAATGTTAATGAATTAGTAGCACTGATTAATTGGGCTAAAATGCGTCAATTACAAAGACAATAGATTACGTGTCTACAGCTATAAATCAGAAAAAAATATGTGACTCTCTCTATGTCATCACTTATGCAGTCGCTACGTGGGTGTGGTTTCTAACGAAAGTGAAGCACTTACATGAGTAATGCGCAATGACGCTTTAATTAAGTGTTAGTTTTCACTTTGAGGCATTAATATTTAACGTTCATTACGTTCAAATTTATAGGGAGATATTCTATGTGGACACTGTTAAATTGTCCACTCGATGATGAATTTATAGCCGTTTTTATAGATAATGGTACGGAACCCGTCGTGCGCGAGACCGACGCGCACTTGGCCTTTTTTATTCACTATATGCGAATAACTCAATAGAGTACAATCTCGATAGAATGTGCCTATTTTAGGGACGATGATGATGATATGATTTATGGTTGTAGGGCCACGCAGCAGCCTCGGCTGTTGCACTACTGGGCTTGCTCGTCCGGGTAAGTACCACGACCTCACAGAAGACAGGCGTAAAGTGGAAGTATAATACTTTCGCGTTTCGTTTGGTGAGTGTGGTGGCCGGAGCACAATTTTCGAAAGGTTTTCAACGCGTCTGCACCCCTCGGGTGTAGCAGATGTCCATGGGCGTCGGTATTCACTCAACATCACGTGAACAATCTCGATTGGCAACTTTTCACATAAAAAATAATGATCGACATGTTTAACACGTCCAATTCAGTTCTCTTCTAATCTAAACAAATTGGGAAAAGAACACAAAGGCAGAGCCGCTGGCGGACGTTGGAAGCGGTACCGACCTATTTTCCCGTTGGGGCTGTACGGGCCGTAGCTGCCCGAGGACAGCGGCGAAGAGTAGCCGTTGTTGGGCTGCGGCTGGGCGGCGGCGCCCGGCGGCGGGGAGCCCCCGCCGGCCGCGCCCGCCGCCATCCAATCTCGCACGTGCCCGTTGGCCGGGTGCCCGTTGTGGCTCACCCCGGGCTCCGCCTTCACCTGGCCGGGCAGCACGCCGCGGTACGCCACCTCGTGTTTCAGGTCCATGCCGCTGCTACCGCATGCTGCCGCGCCGCCGGCCCCGCCGCCCGCGCTCCACACTTCTGCCGGCAAATTCGTGGTCTTTAACTACCTTTCTTTATGTTTAAAACAAAAAAAAAGTAAAGTATCAGCCTATACATGTCCCACGGCTGGGCAAAGGCCTCCTCTGTACATAGGGTGTCAGGGCACAGTCCACCACGCGGCCCCACTGCGGGTTGGCGGACTTCACGTACCTTGGAAATATTTTTTTTGTTATTTTTTCGAAAATATGCAAGTTTTCTCACGATGTTTTCCTTCACCGATGAGCATGACTGTGATAATAGTGTTAAAGGCTTTATGTTTACTTTACCGCTGAGCATGTGATAATAGTGTGCTTTATGTTTACTTTTTTTTTTAGAAATATTTTAGGACACTTTTTTACACAACGTTCTCTTCTCCCCAAACTAAGCAACGCTTGTACTATACTAGATAACAGATTAACATACTTATTCATACTTTTCTTTGGTAAATAAATACATATATAAACACCCAGACACTAGAAAAACACCATGTTCAACACACAATATTTTTCCAGTCGTGGAGATCGAACCCACACCCTCTGGCGCAGGAGGCAAGTACACTACCCACTACTCCATTCGGGTAGTCAACCTTGATTAACTGCGGTAGGACCACACAACAGTCTTCGCTGTTGCACGAATGGGCAGGTCCGTCCGGGTAAGTACAACGACCTCACAGCAGACCGGTGTGAAGTTGAATCGCTACGCGTTTGCGTTTCGTCTGTTGAGTGAGGTAACTGGCGCCCTGAGGTAACTTTATTTAAAGGTTATTTAAACGCATCTGCATACTTACGGGTGTTGCCATTGTCAATGGGGTCATCATTTAACATCAGGTGAACCTTCGGATCGTTTGCGACATTCTCACATTAAAAAAACACTTCATTTTGTCGTACTGAGAATGGTGGTTGGCTGTTGCTACTAGTTCATTGTTAGTACTAACAGTAACGTTTTATTATGGTAGGGCCACGCAACAGGCTTCTCTGTTACGCGAATGGGAAGGTCCATCCGGGGAAGTACCACGGCCTCAGAGAAGACCGGTGTGAAGTGGAAGTATTACACTTTCGCGTTTCGTCTGGTGAGTGAGGCAACCGGTTTCCCACTTTTTTAAAGGTTGTCAACGCATCTGCAATAAATTGTATGTTGTAGATGTCTTTAGGCGGCGGTATTCACTTAACATCAGGTGAACCGCCCCTCGCATGACAACTGTACTCATAAAAAACATTTTTATTCAAGCCCGAGTTGCTGACATATACCTACAAAGACTCCATACAATGAACATATGAACATGATGGATTATGTTTTCGCTTTTACTCTTGGACTTTTTAAAGCTTCACCGAGGGCAGAGAAACAGCCTTCGGGAACCATCTGATTAAGTTAAGACCGAAGGAGTAATAACGCGCGCATGTCTGAACACGAAGTCTGACGGAAAATTTGGACGAACGTTTAATTTCGTGAGACCAATTCTAATTATTAGCAATCACCTAACGAGTAGGATAGGCTACAATAAATACGGACACCGGTGCGTACCGTAGGCGATCCCGGAGGGACAAACGTTCAGAACGTGGCCATAGAGGCCGAATCTTACGAATTACACGAACACCAGAATCTTAGGAAGATTTCCCCCCGATACCAAAAACAAAAAAAAGCTAAAATGAATATAAGTCAAATCGTAATACTCTAAATGCATTGGTTAATTAAGATACCATGACGAAATAAGGTGATAAAAATTTGTCATGGAATTTACCAAACTGAAAACAATCACTAAACATTTTTCGGAGTGAGTCCTAAACTGGATCATTAGATTATTTATCGCAATCAAAAATAAGATAGCGGTAATAGCGTTCGTTAGTTAAAATTGTAGTAGAAAATAAAGCAAGGAATGAGAATTTTTTTACCCTTTCTTTATTACTCTGTGGTAATTTAATACCAACGTGACCTGACCTAACATGTAATTCTCATAACCCCGTACAATCTTTTATCTCGCCAGTGGATCGGAGCAACAAGCACTAACAAAATAAATTGCTCCAAGGTATAAGCAAAGAACAAAGGGATCTAATAATGTGGAGGTTATACCAGATATCAAACACGAGCACGCTATGAACTTAACTCTTAAAGTTATTTAACTTATATAATTGTATACCGTTAACTTACAAGCTCACAAAGAAAACAACTGAATATTCACCGATAGTATCTTAAACTTTCAATGATATCTATGTAATAAAAAGGTAAGAAATTCCGACCAATCGATAAAGTATTTTCATGCCCGGTTTCTGAAACACTGATCATCGTAGAAGGTAACTAATCAGCTGTGAAACGGCTTTTCAAATGTCATTAAGGTCCCAAAAGGAAGATTATACTCTTTGAACTGATCATTCCAATCATTAAGATAATTCTGATCAGTTCAGAGAGTTTAACCATCCTTTTGGCATCTTAAATGACATTTGAAAAGCCATTTGACAGCTGATTAGTTAACTTCTTCGATGATCAGTGATTCAGAAACCGGGCGTTAGTGTTACCTAGTTTTTCATGGTGCTTTAAATTCATCGCCACGGTCCATTCGCCTCAGCGCGAGGCCACTTTAATCGATTAGTTTATGTTCATTGTACCCTGATCGGACTATTTCGAGACGTACACCGCGTAGCGTATCCGTGGACAAAAATATTTCAATCGTGTCTAAAACACAATGAATTGATTTATATATTAAACTACACAGACCTTCGAACATCTTCAAATATATGTATTTAATGTGTTTGTGGTTGTTTCGAAGCGTGCCGTGAAATGAAATAGCGATAAGGTTTTTAAAATAGTACGTTATATTGAATTTTCTTCTTGATTACGTAAGATTTAGCTCCGCAAGGTTTGATGTGTGTCTAACCTAGATTCTTTGCAGAAGTGAATTCTTTGTTCGTGAATATTAAAGCGTCTAGTATTGATTTGAACGGTGCATTGCTCGTAACCGTTGATGTTTATCTGTTACCGAACACCTATGCATGTACACCAGCGAAACTTTACGAATACAATCCATTTCATGCTTCAAATTTACTTACTATAAAAACTTATTTATGAAAGTCCAGCCGAACAAAATTATCGATTTACAGAAGAATGTGAAAGTTAATAATAGTCGTAAACAATATTGTCTAAAAATCCTCTCTACTTTAACAAAAGACACTCCTTGCTCAACAAAATCAAAATACATCAAAATAGAGATCTAGAAAAATCGAATAGCAGAAGCATGATATTTGCAATCGCTTTACTTCCCTGATGGAATACTTGCTATAAATGGTGAAATAGATAAAATAAAAAATGTATAAACAGTTTCACCACACAGGCTTAAATAGATGCAATGATTAAGGTCGATGATTGATTCATCAAAGGCCATAGAGGGTAGAGTGCAACCGGAGCAGTGAGAATGTGGCGCTGTTGCTCAACGCGCGGGCGCAGAGAAAGCGCATGACGTCACGGCCTCGACACGCTCACCTACTTGCGCGCCTGCCACAACCCACTTCTGTACAGCCCAATGTCGGGCTATCTCGGCATTTGTGATCCTCCTTTCGATTGTACCTTTAAAAGACTCAAAAATGTGTGGTGGTAGAAGAAATATGACGCCATGTTTGGAGTAATCCTGACAGAAAGCAGGCGTTAGCGTATTTAATACCGAGAGGGCAAAGAGATTTAGGTATATAATTAGTTTACGATCTTTAAAGTCTACTTGTAGCATCCGTTAATTTTTTTTTAATTGTCACATGTTTTTATTGATCTAATATTTACAAGATTAAATCTATCTAAAATTACATATTATCTAATAAACCTAATCCACGCGGCATGGTGCCAAGAACGCTAGCTGCATTTCCTCGCTGAATAGTTATGCTCAACCTTTGCGCGAGAAAAGAACCAGCTCTCTTGTCACCAGCCGCGGCGTTAAGCCTAGGACATAAACTTTTAAAAAAATTTGATGTGCGGGGACCCCACGGAAAATATGGCAAATGGCACAAATACATAATCTGAACATAAAGACTCATATTTGCGCCATTTACTTACTTCAGCTGCCTCCGATGCCGCCCCGGCCGTTAATTGATCATAGCTCGTTCTCCGTCTGATTTATAGTAGTTTTAGTTTTCGTCCAAAATTTTTCTGAGACTCGCGCTGGAGGAAACGTTATTCGTATACTCGAAGCTATACGTGTTGCCTGATTTTTGCACGTTTCGGATATTCGATATTTCATTTGTTTCTGCATAAAGGAACGACTTCCCGCGAATAAAACACGTTCCAATATCTTGGGAGTTCCCTGGAAATTCTCGCAGCGCCTTTTCATTTGTGCAGTCTGCGTGGCGCGCCATAAGTATATCGGTAGTTACTTCTTCACGTACTCGTTAAAAGTAATTTAAATTCAACACCCGCAACTCTTAGATCGTGCTAGCTTCGATAATACGAGTAACTTATGGATATGGAATACAAAGACTATCTATCGATAACATTGATACTTCGATATTGGGGTTGCATCATTTCTATTATTGTAACTGCATAGAAACACTTAAATGCGAGTACGACGGCGTACCCCAAGGTGGGTATTAGCCGCTAGTGTTGTTCGACGTAATTAGAGAGTCGGTTCGGCTTAGCGGACGTACGGCGGACTTCATGCATTATTGAGTTAGAAACGTTCCTGGTGGCTCCAAGCACTGACAAATTGTTATCGTTCCCACGGGAGGTGTGCGCGTACATTGCAGTTACACTTAACGATAAATATTACAAATATTTCTTGCCGAACATAACATTTAACTATGGAACAAATGGAATTTTCCACTGGCATGTTTAATGTCTTCATTTATCCACCACACCTAGCCGTCTTTATTCAATTTAATTAAAAAAGTTTAATGACATTTCCCTCAGCTTATTTCACATTGGACTATGTATGCAGTTCTCGGGAGGGATTCAAAGATATCACCATCGTTCTTACGAATGACATTAACTTTTATTGTACTCAAGCAAGTTCGCTATGAATTTATTAA